TTAAGGTAAAGTAAAGAACGACCTACGTGGTAGTTAACTTAAACTAACACTATTACTTAGTAGTAATAATTAAATTAAATAGTATGTATTGTTAGTAGTATTATATATATATATATACACACACACACACACACACACACACACACACACACACACACACAGTTTTTTCTAGTTTCAAAAATAGACTTTTGCGAGATAGCCTAGGCAGGTGAAAGTTCAAATGCTTCTCATATTAAGTGTAATTTTAAGTGACTTATTCAGCAGTAAAAGTTTTCTTATTTTTTGTGCAGCAAGATCAACTGGAACGTTATATTCCAAGATGCTTGATTTACACTCTTCTTTGGTCATTTGCTGGAGACGCTAGGTTGAAAGTTCGGTCTGACTTGGGTGATTTCATTCGTAGTACTACGACCATCCCCTTACCTCCCAACTCAGCTATGCCTATTATAGACTTTGAGGTAACATCATTCACTGTGAAGTTTTGGTTTTGTTATTAGAAATTAAAACTTATAGAGTGACATAGAAGCTCGGTTTCTTCTTCAAAAAGATAACTGTGTTAAGATACTGTTATGTTTTTTGAGAAAGTTATGAATTTTGTTGTGTTTGCATATTGAAGATAATCTTATATTCTAACACTAAAAATTTGTTAGATTGTTTGAGGTATTTAACAATACTTGTAAAAATGAAAACATTTTTGTGTTATCAACTGGATTTTACTGACTGGTGTCTAAAGTACTTATAATAAACTGGCAAAAGTTTTGAAAGCATTCTAGTATAAATATTATTTGTAAAAAAAATAATGTAGACCAGATGCGAAGTATCGCTGATGTGGAAGAAGAATACTTTGAATATATTTATTTTATTTATTTCTTTTTAAAGAGTGCATGGCATGGCCAGGTGGTTAGGGCTCTCGACTTGCAATCTGAGGGTCACAGGTTTGAGTCCCTGTCACACCAAACATGCTCGCTCTTTCAGCCATGGGTGTAGCTTTGTGCGAAATTCAAAACAAACAAACATTTTAAAAATTGTATTTATATCATTTGTACAAGAAGAAGGTGTTATGAAATTGAAAGCAGATGTATACTTATTATGGAAGATGACAAATTTGTTAAGTGTGTTACAAAACAAAGGTTTTTCACGATTAGGTGACAGTGAGTGGAGAATGGTTACCTTGGCAGAACAAGGTACCCCAGATTGAAGTGGAAACACACAAAGTAGCTGCTCCTGACATCGTAGTTCCTACTGTGGACACAGTGCGTCATGAATCTCTACTCTACACCTGGTTGGCTGAACATAAACCCTTGGTTCTGTGTGGACCACCAGGCTCAGGGAAGACTATGACTCTGTTCAGTGCGTTGAGATCGTTACCAGATATGGAGGTTTGTGTCAGCTCAATTTCAATATCTTAGTTCTCTGGAATCCTTTTGGAGTAGCATATTTGAATATTTCAGAATCAAATACATATTTAAAATTTAATGATTAAATTAGTATGATCTAACTTTTCCACAGTTACTGTGTATACAGTTTAATATAATTGTAACAAAACCCATAAAATTATAAAACTGAATTTCTTGAAGTCTTCTGTTCTTCCATTTACGTTGAATCAAAAAAAAAAGATCTCTGGTTTTTGGAAAGGGCCATTGGTATTTATTGTAATAACTTCAGTCAATGATAACAGCAAAACACTTAAATTTCACTCAAATTTGGTGTACAGATAGAATACCAGAAGCTTAATTTCCAGTTATCAGTGCTAATGGCGAAACATGATAAAATACTAATAAATGTATTAATCCAAAGAAACTGTTCTGTTTCATATTCTAGGTTGTAGGTCTGAACTTCTCTAGTGCTACTACTCCAGAACTACTTCTGAAAACTTTTGATCATTATTGTGAATACCGAAGAACGCCAAATGGAGTGGTTCTGGCTCCCATTCAGCTGGGCAAGTGGTTGATTCTGTTCTGTGATGAAATCAACTTGCCTGATATGGACAAATATGGTATGTCTGATTATAATTGAAAGTGTGACATTGAAATAGTTATTGAAATGTATATTCTTCTAACTGAATCAAAACGTTTTTTCTGTTATATCTGAACAGAGGCTAAAAATAAATAACTTGGTTATTTATGTATAAAGTAAGCTCTCGGTTTGAATTTTAAGTACAATAGAAAAAAGTTCATTACTTTATATATACATAAATATATATAAATAATTTTTGTGTGTGTGGTCGTAATATAGAAAAGTCTTAATAATTGTTATATATTCTAGTTATAGTTTGTCTTTCATATTAGGTTTTAGTATTAATACCATCACGATTTTCTTTACAGGTACTCAGCGTGTCATCTCCTTCTTGCGCCAGTTGGTAGAGCATGGCGGGTTCTTCCGTACCTCTGACCACTCTTGGGTGAAACTAGAGAGAATACAGTTTGTAGGAGCCTGTAACCCTCCCACTGATCCTGGCAGGAAACCTTTGTCTTACAGGTAAAGATTCTATTTTTCATAGGTTTTATAGTCTCTAAACTGCTTTGAATTATATATTGTTATTCTTTAGAGTGATATCAAGTTTAGATATTTTTCATATCTCATGTGGCACTGAGCAAATTAGGTATTTTCAAGATCAAGCTGAACGAGGCTTAATGTTGTGGCTGTGTGTATGTGCCAAAACACACACACACATGCACAAAATACTTTAGAGACTGGACAACATATTTTCATGATGTAGATAAAGATTTAAATCTTAAAAATAAGTTTGGTTTACTGCAGTAAAAAAAAACATAATTCTGTGGGAGAAAACATGACTTTATGTTCATTATTTTACAGTCATATAATGTAATACTTACTGTGGAATGATATTTACTATTAGCTTTATTATTTAGAACCAGTAAATAGTCTTAATTTTACCTTTTACATAAAAAAAAATGATTAACAGAGTTTTTTTAATAGCATTTTGCTAATGCCATTATGGTGTTATTTTGTTAATTATTTAATCTGGGAAATCCATAACATTTGTTAAAACCTTATCAATGAAGTGTTAATAAAACCAGGTGAATTTAGCCATTACAAATTGTGGTTTTAATTGCATTCCTCTTTACAGGAGTACAAAGATGTTTCTGCAAGAGAGCAGTAATTTTGCAAGGATATAAAGTCCTCCCTTAATAAGATCCAGAATAATTTTAGATAGTTCATGAAATGTTAATTTTTATAATTTTGCTTCACCAGCCACACAGTATCAGAGAATTGATAATAAGCATTATTGACTTTGTTTTTAGTACTTAGAAAAAAAGTAAGAAAAGGCTAATTGATTGCAGAATAGTTGCCATTAAGTAGGAAAAGCATAAATTTTGGATATATAATTTGAAATAAAAAAACGTCATGTGATTACTACAGGTTATAAGGTGATAAGCTGAACTTTAATGAACACACGTTTGATAATAATAATAAAATTAATTTGTATGGAAATAATGAGCAAAGTTTTGAAGAGCATTAGTATATAGTAATACATATCTAATTTTAATTTCATTTTTGCCAACAGTATGTGAATGAGGCCCATTTTACAATGCATTGTAAATTGGAGATTGATTTCGAAGTAACTGGAAGCAAAAACAAACGCAGAATAAAAAAAAATATTACTGTTTCTGGAAAGGCAAACCATTCTACAAAAAATACATGCATGTTTAAACTTTTTCCAGTCCGTATTTGTTTAATCTTTTTTTTTCCTGTGATTTTACAATCACAAACAATGTATTAAATTGCCTCTAGTGGACTGAGAACTGTAGACGTGGTCAGTGTGTTAACCCTTTAAATACAAGATGGACTATTTAAAAAAAAATGAACATTTCCATTCTAAGTGGACCACAATGATAAGTAATATTGCAGAAATAAATGCATCAACTGGCATTGAACCTGGGAATGTAAAACCCAGTATGACAAAGTAAACTGAATTATTAAAATAAACATTCAATATTATATCACAGATTCAAAGTAAGTGTTTCATAAACATGCTGTATGTTTTTCTCATCATCCTGGCATGTTGCAGCACATGTTCACTTGCTTTTTTTTCTTCTCTCTCTCTCTCTCTCTCTTGTGATTGACTCAACCACATTGAATAATTGTGAGCAAAGCTAAAGCTAATCGTAATTTGATTTGGCCACCACAAATATGTCAGTTTTATTCGATAACGAGAAACCCATTTTGAGACTAATAATGGCTGGAGACGGCTTGAATGGGTACTGAAGAAAAACTTTAATATAAGTTTAACATAACAGCAAATGTACAACGTTTTGTCATCATCAGGTACCTTTGTCAGTTTTATGTTGCTTTACAAGCTACGTGAGTGTAGCAATTTTTTGTGATTGTAATTCACAGCTGAAAAAGCTTGTTTTTTAAAACGTATTCACTTTTTTAAAGATGAATGAATATTTTTAATTAGTGCGGTAATATAAAGTGTAGTAGGCGACATGCTGAACCTAACTAATGCCTAGTTGCTGAATAAGTTGGATTTTTCGTACGACTCTTGGCTTTTGCACATATACTTGTTTGACTCTGTTCTACAATTTAGTAGAAATTGCTTTTATTATGTGCATGTTTTTTTTCCTTTTGAGTAAACTGTAATTTTTATGAAGATACCTTTTAAGTTCACAAAAATTGGTCTTCAGTTACCAAAAGTTTGCAAAACTAAATATAATAAAAATGAGAAGATAGCATATTTATAAAGAATAAGTCAGAACTACACACAATAAACTAATTAACCTCTTTCTCCATGGGCACCTTTTTCTGCACATGTCACATGGATTTAGTGAGTTACATTCAAAATATAATTAAATACTTTATTTTTATGGTATACCAATAAATATAACATAAAAATGTAACCAATCATCCCTATTTTAATAGTATATAAGTTTTATGTTCTTACTTTTATAAGGCAATATTTAAAATCATTCTAGTACTTCCCCTAGTGTAAGAATTGTGACATTTGCTCTCTTGGTGTCCCCTGTTCTCTAATTTATTTACCACCCCTCGAAGAAATACTAAATTTAATGTAAATTACTCGTTATAGTATCATCATCTCTCAAGCAAAACATAGTTTTCACAGCCTTCAAACTTGTTTGGTCACAGAGCCATGAAATAGACAATAAGACCCCTCTTGTCATGCCCACCTTTCACATTGTCTATTTCAGAAAATGCTAGTAGTTCTCTCTGCACTTCAATACTATATTATTTATAGCCAATAGAAAGCCAGGATTTTCATGTATCAAATGACGTATTATATTATGTCGAAAATTCTCTTTAAAGAAAACAATTTCACTTTCAGTTTTTAGCTTGATTCCCACAGAAAACACATTGATGAGCTTAGATGAAGTTTTAATGGCTCTTGTCACATAATTAGAAAGCCAGACAAATTGTGATAGTTTGGGACACTGTTTGCTTTTTGCACGTTATTATTCTGTGTTCTTTGGTGCATTATTTAATTTTAAAAAAAGATGGGTTAAGTGTCATCAACAGTCAACAGCAAAAGAGAAAGAAGTAAAACCAAAAAAAAACACCCAGGAAACATTGAGTAACTTGATAACTGTGGCTATAAGTCAGAAAGAGGAGAAATTACAATCATACTTCAGCTGACTTGCCAAAGCCTGTATCATATTGATGGCATCTTGGCAGTCTCAATAAAGTACTGTTGTCATGTTGAATGACGAGAACATTACTCTTATATTACTAAAGTTCTGATGAATTTTAATCCTTTTAAATGTTGTATTTTTACTTTTCAAAATGTTTCTTGTATGAGAACTTATAAATTACTATCTAATGTTATAAAGATGAATATTGAAAATGGTAGTATTTGCAATAATTTTGTATTTTAAGTATTTACAAGCAAGCAAGAAAAAGTACTTTTATTTCATACATTTATGAGATGTTACTTTCTGTATATGCTATGAAAAAAAAAAAAGCTGATCATTCCAATAAATGTGGTGCTTTTTTTTTTATAACTGCATTATTATTTTTTTCTTTGTCTCGGTGCTTCAGCTATTTTGATATCGCATATAAAATCTTATCTGTTGACTGTGGGAGGTATGGTATAACATTAATGCTTTAAATACAGGTTCCTGAGACACGTTCCAGTTGTTTATGTGGATTACCCTGGCGAGACTTCACTGAAACAGATTTATGGCACTTTCAATCGAGCTATGCTACGGCTCATACCGAGTCTTAGAACTTTTGCAGAACCACTTACGGCAGCTATGGTGGAGTTCTATCTCATGTCACAGGTGACTGACTGGTTTAAAATATTAGATGTTTTAGCTTTTCTTTTTTGTCTTCTTAATTGTATATTTTGTATTCCTTGATTTCTGAGTTAAGGATGTTTTGAGTAATTATGTTATTGAACTTATAGTGGTGTTAATTCTTTGTAAAATGGTTTGTTATCCTTTCAAACTGTATATAACTGCCTTATTTTGTTGTGGGAGAAGAATTAAGTCATCGTAAAATAGGTTTCTTTCATTAATAGTGAGTAAAAACTTAGTTTAAAACAAGGTTTTTTTTTATTTAAGTTGCATCTGAGTTTGAAAGAATTCTGTTGATTACTGTTAACGTGGTTGCCATTACATGTTTTTAAAAACACCATATACAACAGTTTTCAATGTTCTTGGTAAAAATCTGATTCTGTGCTGAAACAAACCTCAAGTAGAGGAGTATTTTAGAATATTACCAAATATATTGTGTTTAATTGTACACAAAAATGATTCACTGTATTGTTTTAAAACAAGGAAAGATTTATATTTCAGCTGTGTTACCTTTTTGTCAGCTCGAATAACAACATGTCCGGTGATTTTGACTAGTAAAATATGAAACTTTAATTTTAATGCTTAGGGCTGAAGTTGTATTAATGTTATTCATACCAATAGCAAATGTAAGAATCAGTGATGAAAAGGTAACTGTTAGTTTCCTGTTAAATCTTACTTGTAGATACTGTTATAATTGTGTACATAATGTGAAGCATTTGAAAATGGAAAAATTACACAATTATACTTTTTTGGGTTCAGGAGAGATTTACTCAAGACATGCAGCCTCATTATGTATACAGTCCTCGTGAGCTCACTCGCTGGGTTCGAGGAATATGTGAAGCAATTAGACCTTTGGAGACTCTGCCTGTTGAGGGGCTTGTGAGACTGTGGGCTCATGAAGGGTTGCGACTCTTCCAAGACAGGTACTTAATGAATCTTCTCATTGACTGTTTTACTCTGCAAGTGCTTTTAAGTACATTTGAAGAGATTTGTAAATCAATTTGGCAAAACTAATGTCTAAGTTAATACAGTCAGTTTTCCTATTATGATATGATGTTTGGAAAACTTTGTCAATGCTTTTGACCAAGAGAGGCTCTGTAGTTGAAATGATCATTTATTGTTCAAAACCCATCTGAAGAATTGTACTAACATAGAAATGATATTTTGGAAGGTTATAGAGTCTCTATCTTATCTAAAGCCTCTCTCTTTTCCTTTTTTTAAATACAAACGATGTGTTACTGGTGTTAGAAATTTGTATAGTTTTAAATCTTAGTAAATAATAATAAATTTTCAGGACAGTACAGCCACAGTTCATTGTTTAGATTGTTATTGTAGTAGAGAATTATGTGACTGGTAATTTTTGATGAACTTTCATGCATATTGAAATGAATTCAACATTTTTTGTTAAATAACGCATGCTTCATCTAAGGTCAATCATTCAGATGTGTTTCATAAAGCTAAGAAACCATTTGGTAAAGTAATAATAATCATAATTAGTAATAAGGGTAGGAAAGATATTCAAGGTAACATGCAACATTGTTATTTGTTTTGAAATGTGTGACAATGCAGCCACTTTTATTAAAAAAGCATTGGAAACTTTAAGATACTGGAACACTTCAAAATATAGTAGTAGTGAAAAAAGATAAAGTGGGGGTCAGAAAAAATTAAATCTGAGAATGATTAAGAAATAAAAAATTTATTTCATGCGGCTTTACGTGCAACTTCCAGTGCTCTTTGTCAAAACATATGTATGAAAAAAAACCACACTTCCAGTCTAGTATCTTAGCAGACCACTTGAACCACACTTCCAGTCTAGTATCTTAGCAGACCACATGAACCACACTTCCAGTCTCGTATCTTAGCAGACCACCTGAACCACACTTCCAGTCTGGTATCTTAGCAGACCACCTGAACCACACTTCCAGTCTGGTATCTTAGCAGACCACCTGAACCACACTTCCAGTCTGGTATCTTAGCAGACCACCTGAACCACACTTCCAGTCTGGTATCTTAGCAGACCACCTGAACCACACTTCCAGTCTGGTATCTTAGCAGACCACTTGAACCACACTTCCAGTCTGGTATCTTAGCAGACCACTTGAACCACACTTCCAGTCTGGTATCTTAGCAGACCACCTGAACTTTTACTCAGTATCCAGATAGTCTTGTATAAGCTCAAACTCTGTTGTTATTAGTTATCTGTCATTAGGACTTTGAGACCTCTTTCTTTTCTTTATCATGTTCCATATTAAATATGAAATGAATATCATTAGGAACACAAGACATCTCTTTTTATATATATCAGGTTATGTATTATAAATGGAATGGGGTGGAATTGTGTTTCCAAAATCTTATATTTATTTTGTACTTTTGTTTATGCATTTTTTGGTCAGGTTATTAAAAACTATTTCAGATTGGTGGAAGATGAAGAGAGAACGTGGACCGATGAGAATATCAACATGGTTGGACTTAAACATTTCCCAAACATCGACAGGGAGTCGGCCCTTACTCGACCTATCCTCTACAGTAATTGGTTATCTAAAGACTACATACCGGTGGATCGTGAAGAACTCAGAGACTACGTGAAAGCTCGACTGAAGGTAACATTTGAATCATTCCAGTTTGTTGCGTACGTATGTATGCATAATAATTTGTTAGTTATGTTCATTTTTTACATTGCATGTATTGTTAATAGTTGGGTTTGTGGTTTAATAATTAAATTTCAATTTTCTTCTTCCTTAATTTATCTAGTACAATTTGTGATTATTTCCACTTTCAACTAGTTGTAAAAATCATCAATTATCTACTCCCAGTATTTTCTTGTACATGAACTTGGTAAAAAAGCTGTTATTAGGTTCCGAGAAAATGTAGCAATTGTATGAAAACTTTTGTTTACTGATTGGTTTGTCTAACAGGTGTTCTACGAAGAAGAACTAGATGTTCCACTGGTGTTGTTTAATGAAGTGTTGGATCATGTGCTGCGAATTGACAGAATTTTCAGACAACCCCAGGTAAGTAGTTTACTAGAACATCAGAAGTTTATTGAATTTAACTTACAGAATAATTAATAATCAAACAGTTGCGAGATGTAGAAATAACATTTTGTCATTTCATAAAATAATGTTAAAAACTTAGTTTATAATTCAAACACTTACTGTTGAGACTTGAGTATAAATGAAGTTAACTTTTAAACTCATTGTGAAGTGCTGTTGAATAGTTCGGTACAATTTTCTCAGGGTCACTTGTTGCTGATTGGTGTGAGTGGTGCAGGAAAGACTACTTTGTCACGTTTTGTAGCCTGGATGAATGGATTAAGTGTTTTCCAGATAAAGGTATGATTATTTTTTATTTATTTTTTATAGACCTCCATTAGCACAGCAGTATGTCTGTAGACTTACAATGCTAGAAACTGGGTTTTGATACCTATTGTGGGCAGAGCACAGATAGCCCATTGTGTAGCTTTATGCTAAACTTTAAAACAAGCAAACAAAACGTTCATTTTATATATAAACCATTTATCTTCAACAAAACTGCTGCTAATATGAAAATTTTTTTTTAAAGTAAATGTTTATTGAGGATAAAAAGTATTATTTTTACATACGTTTTATTTGTATTAATTTGCTATTTTATATTTTAGAAAATTTTAATAGCAACGATTACATGAAAACATTCCCTATGTAACATTTATGTATATGTACGATATATATTTATATTGTTTTTACTGTAGATAATTATTTTTTAAACATGAAGCAGTTATAATATCAAGCATACAGATTTAGTTTCAATCTCTTGTCATCTTTTGGAAATTATAAATATGTATATATATAATTTTTTTATTGAAAGATGTGAATGTGTTTTGAATGTAGGTTCATAACAAATATCACGCTGCTGACTTTGATGAAGATCTGAGGAATGTATTAAGAAGATCTGGATGCAAGGTAAATACTTTGATAGGTTGTTTAGGAAGAGTATTCATGATGAAACTAAGATGAAAGGATGGCAACTGCCTGTTGAAGAAGCGCAAGTGTAGAGGACGATGTTTTGAATGTCTTCCTCCTTTTGTCTTTTGGACCCAAATTATGCAAATTCTTGAATTAAACCAAGTGCTAAATATGTGTGTGTGTATGTTTGTGTGTTTTTAGACATACATACATACATGTGTGTGTGTGTATATGTATCTATGGAACTACATTTGTTTTTATTTCATGTCGATCAGTGTGAATCTTTTGCCAAGTGAGACTTAATACTGTTGCTGTTTCCACTGTTGTGCATTTTTGATGAATGAAAATGCATGTTTAATCCTATGTGGCAGGATCCAAGAGCCCTAGAAGCTTGAATATGGCTCCTGGAGATTTGTAAAATATAGTTAAAGTGGTAAATATTGTAGTAATCACTGATTATAATGACAGCTTTTCGTCTTCAGAATAAAGTTGATACACCCTGATGTATAAAACAAAAATCAGCAGTGTAACATTAGATAAATTTAAAAAGTTGAAAGTAGTTTGGTTTTTTTCAAGTACTTCATGGTTAGTTTTTGGGATTTTAATGAACCAACGTAGTCTGAATTTTCTAGCGCTAATTGTTACGTATGTGTGTGTGTGTGTGTGTCTATATATAAGACTTAATGTGATGAGGTTTATTTATTCTCTCATATCTCTCTAAATCTGACAGAAACCAGTCTTTCTTCTCAAAAATACATTATAAGCATCAGTCATGAAGTTGAAATAGAATTTACCTCTATGTGGGTACACCTTATTGTTCTAGGATATTATCATATTGAGTATGTGTTTATGTTTTATATTTAAGATCACCAGAAAGTTTAATAAAAGAGGAATTTTTTTTTCTCGACTCTTTTATATGGTTACTTAGTAAAATATTTTGCATATATAATGAATTAGTTCTGCATATGTTTAATAGCAAAGTCAAAATTCATTCTTGTTCATTTATTATACTTTCGTTTTTTTTCTATATGAGTAAAGAGGTCACTTAGTTTTTGGAATCTATGTAATTATGTATATTAGGCCTAGAGTACGTCTGTTTCATTGAAGCATAGTAGGTGTTTATTAGGCGTAATATTACAGTACAGTGTGCAGACTAATAACCATATCTTTGTATATTGACTCTGTTTTAGCTACCAATAAAAGATTGGGTTTAATAGTACTTTATGTTTTGATTTTTAACTGCTGTTAGCTGTCTGGAATTTTAACTCGAGCTGTGGGGTGTAAAGCATGTCCAGTAATGTGTATGAAATATTAGCATCCAGCGTGTCAGTTATGTTTTAAAGTAGAGAATATTTTCAAGTAAATGTGTAACTGTTTATCTGTCAGGATGAAAAGATTTGTTTCATTTTGGACGAGTCCAACGTGTTGGATTCCAGTTTCTTGGAAAGAATGAATACACTTTTGGCCAATGGGGAAGTACCTGGATTGTTTGAGGGTGACGAGTACACTACCCTGATGACACAGTGTAAGGAAGGGTCCCAAAGAGAAGGACTTATGTTGGACTCGAATGAGGAGTTGTACAAGTGGTTCACCCAACAGGTTTGTTGTAACTCAACTTTTATTAACTTTTAAATCACGCAGCTTTATGAATAACTGTAATACAGAAAATTAAAATACATTTATGGAAACAAACTTGTGCATTATGTAAAAGCACTTTTTCAATTAATTTCACATATTCTGAAGAATAATCTACTGAAGTAAATCCTATTATAAACTTTGGTTCATTAAGCATTATCTTAACTGATAATTCTGATGGTTGTTAAATGTATATACAAGGGCAACAGATTTTATCACAAGTTTTCTACGGCACTGGTAGAATATACTTAAGTGTGAAATTCAAAATATATGCTTGTGAGGTGTTGTAATTGATTTCCTAAAAACATTATTTACGACAAAATAATGGGTAATGTTTAATATTATAAAGTTGTGATATGGGCAAGTCAGAATTTCAGAATATTTTAAACAACACGTAAACATAAGTCATCATGGCTGCTTGGTGTGAGTATTAGTTTGCTTTAGAGTTCTAAAATACTGACAACGTTTAAGTTATAAATCATTAGTAATTGTATGCAATAATGATTAAAGAAATTCAGTGAGGGCAGTATTCTGACTCCTCCTTCTTATGAACTTCTTTTACCTGAGTTTCGAGATTTAAGGTAATCTGATGTTGCGTGTGTATATAGCAGGTCTAGATCTGCTTAATAAACAGTGTATGAATAAATATACTCAACTTTTTCTAGTACTGCTTTCATTTATATTGAATTGCACATGTTTCAAATCATAATCCTTTACATTACATGCCAGTAAATGTGGTATTTGGATGAAGTTATTAGTGTTTGTGTGAATTTTGTTAATAAACTTGTTACTCTGGAACAGGTTATGCGTAATCTACATGTGGTTTTCACCATGAACCCGTCTTCGGAAGGCTTGAAGGACAGAGCAGCCACTTCACCAGCTTTATTTAACAGGTCTGTGTTTATCTGTGAAACTTAAACACAGACCTGTTGAATAATCCTGTTGAATAATCCTAAGTTTCACAGATTGGTCTGTGTTTATCTGTGAAACTTAGGATTATTCAACAGGTCTGTGTTTATCTGTGAAACTTAGGATTATACAGTATTAGATTTTGACCTTTTGATTACTAAGCTTTTATAAAGAATTTTCACTGATTTGTTTTTTATTTGCTGTAGGAATTCAGACTGGTTCACGATCAGTATTATCAATGTTACTGATTCTAATGAGCTATATATAGCTTAGCATGCTTGGACTGGGAATCTGAGAGTTCATGGCTGGTTTTTACAAAAACATGCTCTCCTCACTCAGGGAACACTTGGTAAACCATGGTGAAATCCCACTAGCTAGACCAGGGTAGGCCAAAAATTGTTGGTGGTTGCTGTTGGCTAGCTGCTTCTATCAGTTCAAAATTAGGGTTGGCTCTCAAACATTGAAGTTCTGAAGCAAACTGTTCAGACATTACACTGCTTATGATTTTAGCTTTGCTCATGGAAGATTTACAGCCGTGGTCACTGTTTTACAATAATGTTATTAAGACGGAAGTGATTTATTATACTTGACTTCAGATCTTTTATAAGCATAGATAAGAATTGTATTGTTACTTAATCCAAAACTAAATCATTATAATGAAATTTTCCTTTTTTCAAATTCAAAAATTAATGCATCTTTATCCTTATGATTTTTTCTAAAGATAAACAAAATATCCTCAAAAATAAAGTTGAATTTTTTTTATGTCAGTATCAATTTAATCGTATTATTTTTTAACTTATTGCATTTAGTGCATTTAGTTTTGAAAACGTAGATTGGACTTCTCTATAACCGTATTTCTGTAATGCATATTAAAGTATGAAACATTTTAATGCCAGTAATGAACGATCTTATAACACCAAATTTCTTATTTTCCTTTAATTAAACACTCAGTGTTTCACTTCACAGCTTCTTCAAGTTAGTATTTTAGTGAAACAGTTCCTGAAGAAGCTGTAAAATGAGTGTTCAACTAAAGAAGGAAAATGATAAATTTAGTGTTATAAGATTGTTTATTACCAGCATTAAAATCTTGTTTATTGAGACAACATGAACTGTTTGTTAAGAATGTTCAACGAGTTTACTTCATCTATTGTTCCTTACAATATTGTTAGAGTGCTAACTAAGAAGAATTATTTTACCTGTAGGTGTGTACTGAACTGGTTTGGAGACTGGTCTGATAGCGCCCTCTTCCAGGTGGGAAAAGAATTTACTTCAAAACTGGACTTGGACAAAAGTGCTGTAAGTGTAGTTATATTGCAAACTAACCTTTTCTCTTTCCGTGTTTTAATGTTTAGATCAGGAAACAAAATGAAACTTAATATGATAGTTTTAGTTGTTTTTACACAACAAAAACGAACATTGGGGATTTGAGACCAAAAGTTTCATAAAACACTTTTGGGGCTTCTCTCTACACACAGCTGTTGTATCTATAATATGCATGTTAGTAAAGTGTTGGAGGGTTCCTGTCCACACAGCTGTTGTATCTGGAATTCTTGTGTTAGTAACACGTGTTATGATGTTTGTACAGAATGTCATTTTATGTATGCCTTATTTTTTTAACACTATTACATTTTATATTTTTTGGGTTGGCATAGCTTTTTTGTTACTTATTATGTACATTCTTATTTTGAATGTGTTATACAAGGAATAGCTTTTTTGTTACGTCATTGGCTGAAATGAAATATGATGTTGATGATGGTGCATTTTTCATGTCTGATGCTTTCTCCGGAAACATAGATTTTACTGTTTTGAAACCTATTCATAAGTTAGAAATACAAGTTATTTAACTGTCAAAATAACAAATAACATTCTTGAAGATAGCTTCTATATGCAGAAACATCTGTTAGCTGAGTTCTTGCACAGATCTTAAAATATAA